AGACTTAACAGAAACCCCTTGGCCATGGAATGTAATGGCAAAAATGAGGCACTGGGTTGCAAAAGAAAAATGAAGAAAGATGAAGAGAGGGAGAGAAGAGGGAGAAAAGTTGAGTATCTTGCTTTTCCAAAACTAAGATTTCATATTACTTTTTCTTTGTTTGTTTGTTTGCTTTTTTTGAGGTTATGCAGCTCTGGCTGGCTTCAAAGTCACTACATACCAGAGGATGACCTTGAACTCATCTCCTTCCTCCCAAGTGTTGGGGTTATAGGTATGCCCCACCATGCACAACCCAAAGTAACATTTTGTTTGATTGTTATTTATTTACTTGGTGATAAAAATAAAACAATTAAAGAACATAGTTCCACATAGCCCAAGATAGCTTTAAGTTCTCTATGTAGCTGAGGATGATCTTGAATTTGTGGTTTTCCTGCCTTCACACACACACACCCCAGCCCCGACCCCTGCCAGGACTGGATTATAGATGTGTGCCACGATACCCAGGTTTATGTAGTGCTGGAGAACAAAGTCAGGATTTTCTACACTCTAGGCCACTGAGCTTCATCTGCACCCCAACCTAGCATCATAAAATAGTATACATTTTCTTTTCAAACTCACTTTTGCCAAGATGAATAGATATGAAATGACTGTAGGGCAAAGCATTCAAAGAAATTTCTCAGTCTCCTGATCTTCCTCAAGTGACATTATTGAAGGTGACATGAGTGTCTCTGTCTGCCTATCCATTAGCATCTTGTTGGGCTGTGAGGCAATTTCCTTTGTCTCCTGGTATTTGGTATACACCCCTGCTTTGCTCCAGCTCTCCTGGAGATCATTTAGTACTTCTGGGATTAATAAGAGCTGCGAGTTTGTAGCTCCTTGTAAAAGCATTGCCACAGGATGGGGAACAGACTCTGGTTTCAATCACTTATACTTTCTTACGAGGGAACCAGATTTCTTCCCCTCAACTTTAACGGCTGAATTCGCCAGTCAAGGTACAAGGCAAGTCCAGGGATTTTTGTCCATGTGGCTTGCCCTTTGTTGTTGTTTGAAGGTAGGGTCTGTTTCTGAGGTTGGCCTGGAACTGACTACTCGCAGATTCACTGGGAGCTTCCTGTCTTAGTCTGCTGAGTGCTGGAATTGTGGGTGCACTAGACATTGATGTTTGTTTGTTTGATGGTCTGCAGAATCTAGGCTCAGGTGGGGAATGTCTGTGGGAGGTTAATCCCCATGGAAGACTTATTTTAACTGTGCGGGGAACTATCCCTTATCAGGAGATTCTGGACTGAATAAAGTGGAGACAGTGAACTGCACATGAGCGAGCATGCCTTCATCATTGGTCCTTTTCTTGATTGCAGATGTGTTGTAACCTGCTCCTATAAGATCCTTGCTGTGATGGATTGTAACATGGACCAATGAATGAGCCAAGACAAATCCCTTTCCCCTTAAGTGGCTTTTGTCATCATATTTTGTCACAGCCACAGAAAAAGAACCCAAGAGTCTCATGCTATGGATTTGGCTTTTGTTGTTGTCTTTTTTCCAGGGAGGGATGATGGTGTCTCACTATGCTTTTGAGGCTGCCTTTAAATTTACTATGCAGCCCAGCTGGCCCGGAGCTAATGGAAATCTTCATATTCCTGCTTCAGCCTCTGGAGTATGGGAGGGACATTAGAGTGTGTGTGTATGCTACAAGCATGCACCACCATGCCCAGCTTGGTGTTGTTATCATGCCTTGGACATGGGTCTGACTGGTCTCTTTTTCCTGCTGGTTTCTACAAGTCATGTTCTATGAGGTTGTCTTCCTCACCATTCTAGAAGCTGTGGTCTTTGAGGCCCTAGGTTCTTTCTCTGCATTTCCTATATCAAGGATGTAGAGCCTGCCTGCACATATCTACTACCCCCAAGGAGTGCTTGATTAAAATGCTTTCTGGTCTGGATCCTACCCTGTGATTTGAGGACAGTTCCCAGGAGAGTGCTGAGTACGATGCACCGTGAGGTTGCCTAGGGTGGCCGGGATAGTTTCCTGTGATGGACAGGCTGTGTCCAGGAAGTGACAGGTAAGTTGAATTACATTGATGAGTACATGCACATCATGGTGCCAGGGGATTCAGGGTAAGGATGTCTTCTGAACACATCTCAGTGCAAGCCTCTTGTGGTCCCCTCAGCAGTGTATCATCTTGGACTACGAAAGTGGTCTAAGGGCTCATCTGGGTATCAGCTTGTAGCTGTTGCTTTTGTCCTCTGTATCTAGATTTGTGCCATGCACCACTGCTCATTAATAAATGAGAACATCCAGGTCAGTGGGTTTTCATTGTTATTTGCTTTTATTTTTTGTTTTGTTGTCTTTTTACATTGTGTGTTTGTGTGTGTGTGTGTGTGTGTGTGTGTGTGTGACATGGAGGTCAGCAGACAACTTGTGGGATATTCAGTTTGATGATCTCTACACTTGGCAGCAAATGTTGCAAACATGGCTATCCCACGGGCCATCTTTTGGGTTCAAACAATTAAGTTTAAGACAGTGTCTCACACTGACTTACTAAGTAGTCCAAACTCACAGCAACCCTCCTGCCTCAGCTTTCCATGTCCTAGAATTACAACCTTGAGTCACCATCTCCAGCTCTGAGGCTATAGCTTTTGAGGCAATAACAAGTATGGTATTGGCATGTAAACTGTAATAGTATCAATTTGTTATCAAGTAAACACAAACAGAGCTTTTAAGTAGAAGCAGCAGGGATGGGACACAGGGAGGGTAGAGCCATAGCTTCTCTCCTGTCAGATCTTGGCATCATTGCAATGTTTGTGCCAACAAGGGAATGATATGAGGAATGCTAAATTACCATCTCTCTTTTTGCTAACTGAAGAAACTCCAGGGGTTGAGATTTTCTCCATAATTATATCTGGGCTGTTGTCAGGGATAGTGGTCCCTGCTCTGGTCACCGGACTCTTGGGAGCCCTATGCATGCTGCAGGGACTGCAGCCTGTGGTCACCCCTGTCCGTATCAGTGAGGCTGCACATCAAGAGGTAGAGGCTGTGTGGGTGACAGCTTTATTCCCTCTCACCCCCTGGACTCCCCAAAGCTGCTGTGAAGCAGAAGTACAATTCTATCTGCTTCATTATCATGGAGTGAGGCTGCATTTCTGTAGGACTGAGCGAGTTCTAAGAATTCAACCCACTGGCAATTCTTACTAGCAACAGTAAACTTATATCCAGAGTCAGATGGTGTCAGAGTACTCCAGTGTCCTTTCTTCAGTCTGGGGACAAGTGACTAGACTCTGGACTGGAGCCAAATGTTCTCCAAATGGTCCCTGAAAAGGTCTCCTACCAGCAGCTGTGGTCTGTGCATTCCTTTAGTCCACACACATTTGCTGAGTGTCAGCTATGTGTGTGGCCCAGATCCAACCTGTGACCTCAAGAATCCCTATGTGAAGTGCCCAGGTGGCCGCAAACACAGCATTACATCACGGAACCTCCTCTGTGTGTGCTGCCTCTCTGTCTGCCTACGATACAACTGGCCAGTTATGGGGAGCATGTTGAGTGTCGGACTATGGAATTTGGAATTAGTTAAGTGTGTGTATGTTTTACAGATAAGAAAACTGAAGTCCAGAGAAGAGGCCTATTCAAGTTCAGATAGTACTTTAGAGGCTGCTCAAAGCTAAAACTGGTCCCTAGACCAGTTGCTTCCATATGAGAAGAGGAAAACTGGTCTACATTTACTGAAGGACCCTGCAATTGTTTTCTTTGGGGGAAATGCTGCATTTCAAGATTACATAAAGAAAGTACCCTTTGAACAAGTATAGAACATGGCTCACAATTCTGGTTCTGTCAAATCACCTGGAGAGTCTTTCAGAAACACTCCTGGAACCCCTCATCAGACCAATTAAGTATTTGTGTGCGCAGAGCTTGGTCCCCTATTTTTAAAAATGTAACAGCTTAATGTCCAGCCAGACTCTGTGGTCTGGTATAGTCAGTCCACCATGCCATCAGTGGTCTAGAGAGCAATGCTTACACATAGTGATGAGTATGTGAATCTGGGAATTTTATTAGAATGTAGTCTTAATTGAGCAGGTCCAGAGGGGCAGAACAGCTGCTGTTTGTAGACTATACTTGTGATAGCTGTTCCTGAGGGCACACTAGGGATTCTGGTGAACCCTTTCGTCCCTGGTTACTCCATTCAGTTTCCACCTCTCCACCATCTGAGCCCTTTTTTTTTTTTTCAGTTGTCCTGGCTCCTAGCAGCGACCTTCCTTTCTTGGACTGGCAGGGTATTCTCTTCCAGGCTCCCGTCCTCCCTGCCGGCAACCCTAAATTTGTGCTGGACCGCACAGTTTTCCTGTCTTGGCTGTTCTCACTGTATGAAAAGCTCAGCCTGTATCTAAGGACTCTTTGCTCCAGACACCTGTGCTAACTGCTTAGGAGCAGGATACCTTTGGGTTCATTTTAGCCTGGGCTACACCCAGCTAGGTGCCTTTCGCCTGCTCCATAAATACTCAGTGGACTTTAACAAACAAAACTCCAAACCCTCGAGAGCAAGGCTGTAGTGGCTGTCTTCTGATACAAACCAACATTCCTTGGAGATTATGCATCAGGCTTTATGCTATCCACTCAGAACAAAAAAAAAAAAAAAACAACAAAAAAAGAGTCGATCAAATTTAACCAAGTAAGTGGTTATTTCCTGTCTGGACTTGGGGTTTAAAAGCTGGCTCAATACAGTGCAGTCCACCAGGCAGGAGTAAGAGCTTATGGGGGTTAGGGGTACGGTTGGAGGTCTGCCTGCAGATCTGGGCTCCTTGCAGCAAGGAGCGAAAGGTTGGACATTCGGGTCAAGGTGGGGTCTCCGGGTGGGGAGATCTTGTAGCAAACAAGGGGAGGCAGGCAGGAGTTGCCAGAGTTGAACTAAGTTGGTGCAGCCGTTCAGGTTTCTCTGGGAGCCCACGTGGGGAAGGGGGCGGGGAGCCGGAGGGAGGGCAGGTCCAGAGCCGAGGGGCGGGGGCGGGGGGGGAGACTGAAGGAAATGAGACAACCTTTTCCTCCCACAGACTCAGTCTCCTTTAGAGTGTGCAGGGCTCGGGAAGTCTCGAGGCCAGGTTCACGCTTTCCCTGCTCAGCCCTGACCAGGAGGGTCTCCCCAAATTGTTCTCGGGTGCACGGGTGCTCCAGCCACAGGGCACAGCCCCACTTTGCCGCACCCCTCCCTGGGTGATCTGATCTACTCCAGGCCCCGCTCGGGCTCCGGAAGTGTGCGCCTGTGATCCCAGAGAAGGTAAGCTACTCCCCTGGTGCACAGGGCTCAAGGACACCCCAATTCTGCTGAGCGGGAACTCTTCAGGGCTCTTAGCATCGGAAACCTCCGCTTTGTTCCGGAACTCCTGTCCAGGTGTTAGTGCGGGTCTTACTTTCTCCTCCTGTTTCCTCTTTTTCCAGTCCAGCCTCTTGCTCCGCTTTAGCTGTCTCCCACCACTCTCATCCCCCTGCCTCCGCAGCTGGGCTTTGAAGAGTCAGTGAGTTGCAAATCTGGGCGCTTCTCTAGCTGCTCTAACTCCAGGAGCTTGGCTGAGCGGGCTAGCCCGCGGCGGTGGCGGGCTTTGACTTTGGGTTTGCTGGGGGTCACCCACCTGAAGTCGGCCTGGTGTACATTGAAATATTTACCCGGTTCCTCTCGGAGCCACTGAACTATTGACACTTATTTGGCGACCCCCAGATCCCTGAGATTAGATTTGACTTGGCGTGCAAAGGCTGTTGGCGCCCCCTAAAGCCTTAAAAGGGACTCTCTACTGTTGGAGAGGGGCTCACTCATGTCCTCAGACTTATCTGAGGGTGAAAGTCCCTGAAGGCTCGGGTAAGAGAAGAGCTCATTGCTGGTCATGAAGACCACGAGGGGAGAGATAGGTTTAAGAGAGAGCTCATTTGGTAGTTTCGATTTTGAGCCTTAGTTAAGCTCGTTTTTCCAACATCAAGTCTATGGACCTTCTAGAAGTCTCTTGTGTACAAACCGGCAAAATGAAACCAGGGAATAAGCAGACTTGAGCCACTTAAGTTTGTAAAAAGGGTCCAGCCTAGATGTAGACCTCATCTGGTCTGTGCCACACACCCCAAGTCCAGCCCTACAGATGGCTCCTCTGTCCAGTCTGAGCAAGAATCTGCCACTTCCTGCCTGCACACACCCGGGGAGACCAAACCTTTGCCTTTTATAGCAAATACATAGCGATTCCATTCAGATCCAAAGTATTTATTTAGTTCCCCGCTGCCGTCCCGGCTCAGTAAAGGCCGTTGTACTCCTCAGCCTTAGCTTTAGCCCCTCCTTCTCCTCCAGGCAGCCAAATTTGTATTCTGCTGCAGCAGGCTGGCTTGAGGTCAAGTCCTGTGTGGAGGAGGCCAGGTGATAGGGTCAGACTATTGGCCTTGGTGATGCCTTCCTGTAATTGTGTCTTTCTCTTCTGAAAAGTAGACAATGGGCCAGGTGTGGTGTAGCACACCTGGGATCCTAGCCCTTGGGCGTGGCAGGAGGATTGGGAGTTCAAGGTCATCCGTGGCCACAAAATGAGTTTGAGTCCAACCTGGGTTCCACAGGACCCTGTCCCCAAATACCAAAATCAAAAACCAAGTCAAGAAAATAGTAAAGGTGGTAGAGTTTATTTTTATTTTGTATTTATGTGCATGTGTGTGAATGCCACATGTTTTAATTGTGTCCCTTAAGAGAAGTCTGGTAGTATCTGGAGGCATTTTTGGCCATCACCGTGTAAGTGGGGGAGGATTTGTTCACTTGGATTGCTCAGGAGAACCTCTCTTCCCACAAAGCAGTTATCTGGCCCACAATAGTTGGGTGGAGTCAGCCTGGCTTACTGTATCAGTTCACAGAGAGCCAGTATTTCACATCTCCTGCTCTCATCAGCTCTGTTTTAGCAGATCATCCCAGCCCCTGTTCTATCTCTTCCCCACTGCAATCCCAGGGTCAGAATTCCATTGCTGAATTCCCACCAGGCTGCGCTACCACCCTGCCCTCCACCTCTGTTCTCTTCTCCATTGCTAACAGAAAGGGCCTGGATTGGTAGGTGCTTGTCAGGCATTAACAGCAACCCCAGAGCCAGTGTTTACGGGTTGAAATCTAACCTGCGACCTTATACACCAGCCCCAGACTTCCCTGCCCAGCCTCATCCTCCAGCCCTTCCGCCATGGTCTCCACGCACCCCAGCTCACTGCCGCTTGGCTGTTCTGACCTCTGGGAATCCTTCCTCCCCATGGCTTGGCAAACACCCCATCATTCTTTGGTCTCTTCTGGATGAAGCTTTCCCCCTGCTTATGACAGCTTCATTGTTCCCTGCTGCCCTATCCAGTCCGCCTTTCTCTCTTGCTGCAGAATTTACAGCAAGGGACCCCTTGCTCACCTGTCCGCTGATATCCACATTCTGAAAGCCTGCTCACAGTGCCCGCTGAGCTCACCAGCTTGTGGACGTTGCTCTCTGTGTTCAAATCTCAGCTTTACCTCTTGTAAACTTTGTTGCCTTGAGCAAGTGGGCTCGAACTCTCTCAGAGTCTTACAGGAAGGGCAGTATGCCTTCTCTGCAGACTAGTGTGCTAACCAATAGGATAACTGAAGGCTATTCATCTGAAGGCTGAGTGCCTGCTCAGTGCTATGCTCGCTTCCTGAGTTTTGACTTGCCTGACCCTTATTTCATCTCTATAAAGTTCACATGGGGGCACAGAGAGGCTACAAAGTTTGCCTAATGCCACACAGCTCATTAGTGGTGGGGCCTACATCCATATAAACATTTGAATTTCAGAACACTCATTCTTCTCACTATGTAGGTAAGGGGTTTAGTTCGTATCAGACTCAGTATATGCTCAGTAAATGTGAGCTGAGGTTCGTTGACTTATTAGCGGGAACCTGAACCCATAGTTTTTCTTTTTACCCTGTACCACACTTAAGATCCATGACTGTACTGTTCAGATGGTACTGTTCTGACTGTGCTGTTCAGATGGTACTGTTCTGACTGTCCTGTTCAGATGGTACTGCTCTGACTGTGCTGTTCAGATGGTACTGTTCTGACTGTCCTGTTCAGATGGTACTGCTCTGACTGTCCTGTTCAGATGGTACTGCTCAGACTGTGCTGTTCAGATGGTACTGTTCTGACTGTGCTGTTCAGATGGTACTGTTCTGACTGTGCTGTTCCGATGGTACTGTTCTGACTGTGCTGTTCAGATGGTACTGCTCTGACTGTGCTGTTCAGATGGTACTGTTCTGACTGTGCTGTTCAGATGGTACTGTTCTGAGTGTCTTTTTCAGATGGTACTGTTCTGACTGTGCTGTTCCGATGGTACTGTTCTGACTGTGCTGTTCAGATGGTACTGTTCTGACTGTGCTGTTCAGATGGTACTGTTCTGACTGTGCTGTTCAGATGGTACTGTTCTGACTGTGCTGTTCAGATGGTACTGTTCTGACTGTGCTGTTCAGATGGTACTGTTCTGAGTGTCTTTTTCAGATGGTACTGCTCTGACTGTGCTGTCAGCAGTCCTGGTTTTCCTCCTCCTTTTTGCTTTGTTGCAGCTACGGAAGAGTTGGGCCTTGGCTCCTAGCCATGCCAACCCCGCTATAGAACTTACATGTGCTTAGTCAAGTCTGGGGCAGCACTCACTCTTGGAGGGGGCTGGGATGGCATAGAAGAATGCAATTAGCACTCCTGTTTGGAGGAGAGAGGTTCAGACATGAAGTAAGGGATTCTGGGTGAGGGAGGTGGATAAATGCTGACTCTCCCTATTATGTCTTCTCGTTTATCTATTAAAGGTAAAATGCAGTAAGGGATTTTTAATGCTCATTAAAATGGAATACTGGAGAGCCAGGTTTGAAGCCCACTGCTGACACTGGATGCTAGGTGACAGCTGGTCACTTTACCAGCTCAGAATCCTGTTTCCTTCAATCAGCCTTGGCTCTGCAAGCTGAATCTGCTGCTTGCTGGTTCTGGAACCTTGCTCCGTTGAGCCGAGTTTGACTCCGTTGCCCAAGTCCCTGCACATTTGTGTCTTCTGTCTTCGAACTCAGCTGCTCCACACATAGTCTGCTCTTTTCAGAAGGCTGTTCCCTCAGCTTTAGTGAGATGAGATCACTTTGTGTGGTGCGGGGACCAGTTTTGTAAGGGGTCCGGGAAACACTGTGGTGGGCATTTTTCTGTTCACTAGTCTATATGAGAACTTTCAGTTTCCTATCCCAGACCCTTTCACTTGGCATGCCCCCTTCCTAGATCACCAGCTGCTGATGCCAGAAGCAGGTTTCCCTGGCTGTTAAAGAGGAAGAAAAGCCAGACCCCAGGCCTGGGCATCTCTTCTATTTGACATTTGGACAGTCTGACTCAGAAAAAATCTTGCTCAGAATGGTGGCTGGGGAGTCAGTTGGTACCAGGACCTTTGATGTCACACCCGATGGCTCTCTCCATGTATCATTCTTCCTGGTCTCTGTGACATGTACCCTCCTGTTAAACTGGGTGTGAATCTCATTTGGCTTATGAAAAGATGTTTTGGTCCAATGTTAGGATCACTGCCTGAATCTTCAGGTGTTACCTTGAACTTGGAATTCTGGCTCAGTGCTGGGTGCTGGAGACACACAGACATGACCCTTCTCAACCAGATCATAGACCCCGATGTGATAGACAGGTGGTCAGCAGAGTCCGTTCAGTAAGAATAAGAAAAAATGGGTATTCAGTGGTATCAGTCCATCCTACAAGAAAAGTCAAGAAGCTTGCTGGGCTTCTGGGCTGGGCAGGGCCATCCAGAAGCAGGAGTATCAGGAAACACAGGCACACAGAAGGCGATCAAGAAAGGGCTTTGTAGATCTTCAGAGGTTTGGTGGGGACTGGAGGCCCAGAGATGGGCATGGGGAGGTGTGGCTTGTCACCAGTCCAACTGTCTGTCCTTGTATTGCTAGAGACAATGGAGTGGGCGTTCCCAGTTCAGGTGCGCAGACTGCTTTGAACGGTGAGATAGAAGGCAGACTTCTATCTTTGCTGGCCTTGTTTCCTTCTGGGGCCAGGGGATCAGAGCCTCCGGGGTGGAGGAGGGACACTGTCTCCAGTAAGCAAAGAAACCACAGTCAAAAGAAAGCTGAGCTCAGTAGCTGTGTGTGGCTGTTTTGTTTTCTTTTCAAAGCCCTGGCTGGTAAACTGTGTGGATGGTCCCTCCAGAGCCCTGGCTTTGGAACAGTTTCCTGTATAGCATCTAGAAAGCTGTATGGATGGCTAAGTAATGGGTAAGTTTCTCAGACTTAGGGAGAGA